TACGGAGTTCAAGAAGTAGAAGGTACCGGAAAGGAAAAAAGTAGGACTATCTTATCTACAAAAAGAAATGAGATGCCATCAAAAACATAACTTGTAAAAAAAAACAAGTCTTGCAACTCAGTTCTTCTACCGTAAAAAGTTGTGAGATCCATGTAATACCAAGTCGGTTAATTTATTCAGTCCCTACTTAAGGGTCCTTCTGTTTTAAGTTATTACGTAATTAGCTAACCTAACAACATTTTATGGTGACCATATCAATGTTAAAAATCTTATGTTTTAAATACATAGATTGACTTGGCAGTCGCACTAAGCAATCTTATTTAATATAATATGTATTACTTGTGAGATACATTGTGTTTTCTAGCGATGGCCAAGTCAATCTATTTATTTGAAATACTTATATAAGATTTTTAACGTTGATGTGGTCACTATAAAATGTTGTAAATGTGTGAAGAACTGAGTTGCGAGACTTGTTTTTTTTTACAAGTTATGTTTTTGATGGCATGTATTAATTATTGAAATATTACACAATGCACTTTTTTCAATGGCTTCCATGTACTTAAGTTTCTTTCAGCAGATGTGCTATTTTTACTTTGGAAGGCAAAGTAACTCTCCATAGCTCGCTAAGCGACGTTAAGCTTCCTCATCCGGCCAGTATGAGAATATATATGATCCATATGTCATCACTGGTAATACGCAAGGTTATGCTCTTCCTCTAGGCTTTGAGGCAGGTATATGTCGCGATATAAATTTCAGATGCTGCGCAGTCCAGTTTCCTGATCGATTGCTCTCAAGGCGAACTTGATGATTAAAAATAATATAAGCCTACTTCAACTATCTGTTATCTGATTTAATATTATTATGTGTGGTCCCCGTATAATTTGAACCAGTGATTTACTTACGTCGAAGTCAACTTATGGCAAAACGGGTAAGAAACATGTAGAGGCGGTGTAAAAATATCCACTACCTCATATCGTTTCGTGGGTGTCGTAAGAACCAACACAACAGGCAATCTTTAGGGGAGTTCCATGTTCGGCAATGGATTTATGATAGAGTCTAACGGCACCGATAAAATAGACAAGTGCCCATGAGCCCACGTCATCGTTCGTTCTCAATTTATTATCATTATCAATTAAAAAGCATTTTCAATTGATATTGGAAGTTAAAAAAGGGAAGGAACCCAATACACTCTCTTTTTCTGACAAATTGTTACTGAAATAAAACAAAAAAGCTTTGAATATTATAAACCTTAGAGCAGTTTCAAGAAACTAATTTAAACAGAATACTTGTTTTATTATAGTGAAGGATATAAAAAAAAATGTCTTCTATAAATCACTTTTTATTATTTAATAATCAAACATATATAACGCACATCATTTATTGCTTTACCTCACTTTCAGGTGCCTCGGTGGGCTCAAAATTCACAAATTTGAAGCAAAGAATTAGTACACATTTAAAATAATTCCACACAAACTTGAATTTCAAATTATGTCAGAATTCAAGTCACACTTTGGTACAAGTTATAACATTTAAACGATTATCATTATAAAAAATTTAAAATGTACGACCAGTCATTTATAAATAATATTAAAAAAATACTTTGATAAATCATTACGGTTCAAATGTTTTGTCATATACAGGTATTTTTTCAGTCCAAATTTTATAAGTCAAGACAAACCAATTGGTATGTAAAGCAAAAGCAACTTGTAGATAAAAATGTAATAAACTTAATAATGTCTATACAAATAAATAAATTCAACAACATATAAATAAATTAAACAGTAGTAGAACACAGCCTCCGGTACAATTCCCGTTTAAATAAAATTGACCTCGAAGATTTTAATTTTAGCACTTAAGCTAAAATATAAATATAATTTTTGAAATAAACCTTACAACCATAAATTATCTTAAAATTAATATAGTTTACTCATATATTTTCACATAATATTATAAGAAAAAATAAATCAATGGACACAATTTTCAGACCGATTTAATTATTTGTCAAGACGAAAGTTAAATACTGTCATAAACGATAATAATTAAATAAAACTAACCCCGAACATGTTACTCAGTGCCTACTTACTGTTGCTCAGTGCTTACTTATCATCACAACCAAATATTACAATGCGGTTATCGGGTTAAAATAAGAAGGGTACTATAGACTAATTTAATTTGATTAGAAAGAGTCGGCAAAGAATATGCGAAGTTGTAATGATTTTTTTTTGGATCATTTTACCCATTATTATGATATATTGATTTGTTTTGAATTACAGTCTCGGCCTATTTAAAATGCACTCATGTACAAGTTATAAATTAGCATTCTTAGCCAGATAATATATATTTTAAAGTTACAAATTGCATTTATTTTGTTGTATTGTACTTTTTGCACGGCGTAATCAATAATATTTGTATGGTTACATTGACAGCTACGACGTCACGTCCGTCCTTGATTTTTTTAATCACGTAGCACTACTACGTGCATCAATTAAAAATTAACAGTCAAACACAGATTTACAAAGTATTAAGAGAATATCTGGACTGCGAGAAACTTGAAGAATAAGTTTTGTTCGCTCTGCTAGAGCGACCGAGTGCGACGGCTGCAGCTCGAGCTGATTAAACCTATAAACATTGCCGAACTCATCATTCTGTGTTTCCTTGTTTTCTCCAAAACTGGATCGAATTTAATTTTTTTTCAAAAAACATACGTATAATTGTCTCCAGGTCCTGTATGTTTTCCTTTTTCTTATATTCATTAAAATACTGGAAGTCGAAAAGCGGCGATACAACTAAGCAGTTTTAGTTATTCAAGGACTGCAAGTTTTTTTTTAAATAAGTAATTAAAAAAAGACGGGAACATGGCAACAAATTGCGTCGTAGAAAATATTGGCTCCAGTACCATTATACAGAAAGCATAAAGGGGTATACGTTTGTATGGAGCCGCCTAAATATCCTCTTAATTGTGCGAATTTCTTATAAATACCTACATTCATTTTACATACATATACATATATTTTACAAGTGGATTTCACTATTCTAATGTATATATACAACTATTATACATAGGTAGTACTTAGTTAAGGGTCGTAGGTGTGAACTCAGCCGCAGTCAGTCTAAACACAAAATTACTTGCGGTCTGTTCGGTAGAGCTTGTTACTGCATAGAGCAGACATACAAACTGTTTTGCACAAAATTCTCAAGTATTTTTTCTTTTTGACGAAGATTGTTACTGGAATATTTCTTAGTTATTTAAGTTTATGGTTATGGTTAAAGACATTTTATTCTCAAAAGAAATATACATTTCACTTAATGAGAGATTACAATATTCAAGTTATAAATGGGTTATGAGCATACAGATAGCAAATATATATACACATATATATATATATATATATATTAACATTAAAAAGGGAGGAAAGAGTTTCGTGACATACAACTTCTTACTAGTTTAGGCATACAACTTAATACTTCCAATATTATCGTTTTGTGTATTGATGTACAAGTTAGCAATCTTTTAGTAGATAGTAATAGATAAGGTGGGTAGTAAGTAAGGTATTTCTTATCGTTACCGATAACGCTGATTAGCGGTCGGCATATGGACAGGGTCGGATTTAGAACTTATTCATTATATGTTGTTTTAGTTTGCTTTTAAAGATGTTAAAACTATTTAATATTTTTATTTCTTGTGGTAGTTTATTATATAATTTAAATCCATCAAAAAGTATGTTCTGCTTACCATAGTTTGTTCGTACCATAGGTATGTAAATATTATTAGTGTTGCGAAGTACTTTCTTTCCTTTGCCTTTATTTGTTATAAATTTTAATTGTGTGTGTATTTTATTATCTAAAATTTTCTTTATTAGAATACAAGTATTATAGCAATATGTTTGATAAATATTCATAATTTTGGTTTCACTGTACAGTTTGTCTGTAGGTGTAAAGAAGGTATAATTGAATAATAGTTTTAATATTTTATTTTGGTTTATTTGTAGGTCCTTTAATGTTGTTTTGTAGGTGCACCCCCAAATTTCATCTAGATAATCCAGATGTGTATTTAAGTTTAAACTAAGCTTATCTAATATTTCTCATTCATATGTCTTTTTATTGTAATCCGTTAATTGTTTTGTTGTCATTTATTTAAATAGTCGCCTTGTATTTGTGTTTTGACACATTTTTATGGAAAGTACAATATACAATAAGGAATAGTACCTATAGGGTTCAGTAATTACCGAACACGTATATTTTAATTTATTTTGTGAATATCAATATAAAATGAACACACAGTCTACCCGACAGTAAGCGGATGTTGTGGTCTATGTTTTTTTACTGCTGAAGTTTAAGATGGAATGCTTCGTTACCAATATAAAGGGACTACAGTTTTGTACACTCCCCATAAGAAATACAAGAGAAATATGCTGCTATTTCATACTGGTATTCAACGTTTTCCTCCCGCACCAAGCCGATCCTTTTATACTGTAGTTATACCACAGCTGCAGTCTAAAAACACTACTTTTGTAATCATGAAAGTTGTAAAGTAAAAATATAGTATTAAGTCATCCTGAGCAAGTAAATGTCGTTTATTTTCTCGTGGTAACATTAATTGTAGAGTTTATTATTTATAGAAGTAAAATTTTTTTTGTATGTTTCTGTAAGGCTCAAGTGAATTATTTTCTATATACATACTTATTACATTTTTACAGGATAATACGCTATTGAATTTTATCATATAATACAATAAGTATATCAAAATCTTAAAAACATTTTTAGTGCAGGTGCTTCGAATATAAAATAGAATCATAAAAAACTTTTAATCTGGCTGCTTTACAAAATGTTTATACTATTATAGTAAGACATACTTGAAATTCGGAATGAATGTTGAATTCTGTTTCAAATAAACAAAAGTTGTGCTATTATTTAAAAATTTACGGAATTTTTTAATTGGATATTATATTAGTACTTAGTACTTATGCAATTGAGTATGCGTGGACTTTTCTTGTGCAGGTTTAACTGCTTTTTGTGCAGGCATATGATATGGAGACATGGAATGCTTCTTGTGCAGGTATAGACTGCTTCTTGTTCAGATATAAACTGCTTATTTTGCAGATGTTGACTGCTTCTTGTGCAGATATGAACTTCGTGCAAGGATTGCTTGTTGTGTAGGCACAGACTACTTCTTGTGCAGGTATGGATTGCTTTTTGTACAGCTGTAGATTGTTCTTTGTGCAGTTATTGACTGCATCTTGTGTAAGTATGAACTGTTTCTTGTGCAAGTATGGATTGTTACTTGTGCAGGTGAGGTGTTGCATGTACGAGTACATACTGCTGCATGTGCAAGCATGGGCTTCGAAAGGAATGGTGACATAGACTGTTTCTTGTGCAGGTTTAAGTTGCCTTTTGTGCATGTGTAGTGTTACTTGTGCGGGTACAGACTGCTGCGTGTGCAGGAGTAGATTCCGACAGAGCGGTGTGTGGTGGTGATGGGGGTGTGGTGGCGGCGCTAGGGCTCGTCCTGTGCGCGCAGCGTGTGCGCCAGGTCGCGGTGCAGGCGCGCCGCGTGCGCGGCGGCGGCGGCTAGCCAGCCGGCCAGCTCGGCCCCGTCACACTGCACGCGCGGCCGCCGCACGCTCTCCGCGCCGCTCCCGCCCCCCGCGCACACCCTCCGTCCCGCTCCCGCCCCCGCCGCCCCGCACGCCCAGCTCCACAAAGTGCGCACCGTCCACGCACACCGCGCGGCATGACACCAGGTTGCTGTGCACAACACACATTTGCTTTACTCAATACGCGCTCGCAGTGTAGCATTTTTCCATACACCGTTAAAATTGCACGTTAACACACAATCGGACTCGGAACAATTACTAAAGTTACGTAAATACTTGTCTCATTCTGGAGTATTCTGTGCGTAAATACGGGCAGTAAGAATATGATGAAATAAATTAAGAAAAAACTAAGTATATTACTGCATTAAAAACTAATGCATATAGTACATAATTAAATTAAAAATTTATATTAATACAAGTTAATAATTTAATTATATTAGTTATACTTGATTATTATATTTTAACAACAAAAAACAAAACCAGAAGATGAACAACAGCGTTACCTAATAAAAAAATAAAAATACCCCCTTACCAATCTGCTGGCTAAGAGAGCACAGAGTACATGTACCCACGACTTATAATTTCCTAAATCTCATACAACATATTCATGAAGCAGATTTTTTTATAGGATAGTGTGACAAACGAGCGCATAATCCGCCTGATTGTAAATGGTGGCTGTGGCCCATAGAGCTACATCTATCCTCGATTACGATTCAAAATGCACATGCGTTTTCACCCGTGAGGACTAAGATGAAATGCTTCATTTCCAGTAAAAAAGGTCTCCGATTCTCCACACTCACCAACGGAAACACAACAGCATTAAGCTACTATTTTACGCTGGTATTCTAAGAGAGCGTGGTCCTCCCCCGGTCGAGCCGACACATTCGTGCTACAACTATACTACTAATATTATTACACAAAAAAGATACCAATTATTTGTTATAAATAGTCTAAAGATTTTTAAAAATCTAAGCAAAATCAAGAAATATGAAAAAAGGTGTTTTGATACTCGTATTCAGGTCATTGGTGCGAGTAATTTATAATAAAAAAAATGTATTACAGATGTGTCAACTTCGAAGAAAGTCGACTCGAGTTGAAATTCAAGTAACTGGAATTGAACTCGAGTTACGCAATTCAAATTAGATGAAAGAAACTGTGAAGAAACTGTGTCAATCGGTCACAAATTTTTATATATCAATATGTTCTTCCATCCTACACAATTATTATTATTAAACCTATTTATTTTATTTAATATTCTTTATTCCACACCGTATAAAAAATTACTAATCATATATACAAACGAAGTATGCAATGGGCGGTCTTATTGCTGATAGCAATTTCTTCCAGACAACCAGTGAATGGACCGGATTACACAAAAATGACGACGAAATGATGTGTGAATAAAAGAATACACATTTCATATATATATATATATATATATATATATATATATATATATATATATATATATATATATATAAGTTAATAGGTAGTTATATATTTTTGGTTTGCGCATCGACTATCTTCATAAAATAATATCGCTCTAACGTTATTATTAACCATCACAAATAGAATATTTTACCCATTTTCAAAAATTATTTTAAATAAATCCTAGAGTGATAACGAACCACTATAATTTTTATATATTTTTTTTAAACCGAATTGAGCCACAAAAATTACTTTTAATCTATCGTTTTATTACTTTTAATCTATCATACTATTACAAGACTTCATGATAGCACCAAAAATTAATATTCTAAAACTGAAGATAGCCGAACTATGACATCGGGACGTTAAACACCTCAGTTCACCCTATGACCATGGTAAAACACCTGTAATTAAAATGTTAACTTAAACGCGATGAAATCCGTAAATATTGTTTCATTTAATATTTTCATCTTGAGCTCAGGTATTAAAATGCCATAGCATAACATCGAAACCATTATAATTTATTAGTATTTACCAATAGGGTATTAACACCCATTTTCAAAAATTGTTTTGAATGAATCCTAGAGTGGTAATGAACCACTATAATTTTTATATAATTTTTTTAAACCAAAAAATGCCATTAATCTATCGTTTTAACTTTTCGCGTGAAAAGGACGCGACAAAAAAAAGTCTTAAAATAGAAATATAAAATTTATAATGCAATTTTATAAACAGAAATTAATATTTCTCGTTTACTTTTTACAAAATCTATCATAAATATATATTTATTGATTTTACTTGACATGGTGTAAAATACCGTATTATACTTATGTGTCCGGTTACTGGTGTCGGAGCTTTTAATGCTACAAAATTTAATCAATTTCATCGACAAATCATGTCTCAAATCTTATTTAGACCTAGCTGTATTTAAATGGCAGCCATTTAAATTTTTCAGTGTTACCACCTTCACCCCGCGCATTAAAATTACAATATTCACCGATGTAGAAGTCCTACATTCTTAAAAGATGTCTCATTGGATAGATAAAGATACGCGTAATAAAATAAAAGCAAACTTTTAACTGCAAAATTGTATTTAGATCCTAAAAAGACTTAGAAAAGAAAAAAAAATGTAAAAAAAATTCAGTTATTTCTTCACATTTTCGACTTTTACCCAGAGGTGTAGGCAGAGACTACGGACTTCCATTTGGCACGATCCTGACATACCTCTTTCGCCTCCTTTACATCCATATATCTACGCATACATGCTCGTCGGTTAAGGGTATTTCTAACGTGGCCCCTTTTTCAAAATATCGCCAATTTGGTCGATAAACTTTTTTCTAGGGCGTCCCTTCCCGACTCGGCCATTCACATCTGCCATATCAATTTGCTTTGTCACTCTTTCCTCATTCATTCTTTCTACATGACCAAACCACCGAAGCATTCCTTTCTTAATCCTGGTCACAACATCATCTTGCATACCACATTTATTTCTTATCATGCAATTTCTCACCCTGTCATTCAGATTCAACCCTAGCATACTCCTTAAAGACCGCATTTCTACAGCATTTATTCTACTTTCGTGCTTCTTCTGCCACACCCAGCTTTCACTACCATACATTAAAGTAGGGACTAACACAGCATTATGAATTACCATATGTGCCTTTTTTGACACATTCTGGTTCTTCATAATAGAGTGTAGTGCCCCATTCACTCTATTCCCTACATTTACTCGTCGTTCTATATCCCTAACATATCTACCATCCCTGCTAAATACACATCCTAAATACACAAACTCATCCACTTGCTCAATTAATTCTCCTTCTATTCTTATTTCACATACCGTTTTGCTTTCTTCTCTTTCAAAAACCATCACTTTCGTCTTACTTGCGTTCACTTTCATTCCCCTTTCTTTTAATTCCCAGTTCATTAATGTAACCATCATTTGCAACTCAGCCGCCGATGACGCAAATATGACTTGATCATCGGCATACAAAAGGCATTTGACGGTTAACTCGCCCATTCTTAACCCACATTCTTCATCTTTCAAAGTTTGCAAACACCTGTCCATAAATAGGTTGAACAGCCAAGGGGAAGCCACACAGCCCTGTCTGACACCCTTTCGGATGCCAAACCAGTCCGAGTAGACCCCATTGATCCTGACACAAGCACTAGAGTCCCTATAAAGAGACCTTAATGCCTGTATCAAACCAGCGCTCAACCCATATGAGTTCAGTGTTTGCCATAACACATTCCTGTTCACTCTGTCATAAGCCTTTTCCAAGTCCATGAACGCACAAAAAACTTTCTGGTTTTTGGCCAAAAACTCCTCCGCAATCATGCGCATGGAAAAGACTTGATGTGTACACCCCATTCCCTTTCTAAAACCCGCTTGCACATCCCAAATTTTTCCATCAGTTTCTTTCATAACTCTTTTAATTAACACCTTAGCATACAGTTTACCCACTACTACTACTACTACTAAGCAAGCTGATACCACGGTAGTTATTGCAGTCCTGCTGTGACCCTTTTCCTTTATATATTGGTACTATAACCGCTTTACACCAGTCATCCGGTACCCGTTTTAATTCCCAGCATAAATTAAACAAGGTGTACAGCAGGCCTGCCACCACTCCCTCTCCAGCCCTTAGCATCTCGAGTGATACTCTATCATATCCAGCTGCCTTACCTGCTTTCATGCTTTTCATTGCTTTCATTATTTCATCTACACTTATCTCCATACCCCTTTCCACTTCTTTCGGAATTTCTAGTTCATTTAATTCAGACGACTCTTCACTCATAAACACGCTTTCAAAGTATTCCTTCCATCTGTTTAAATTCGAAGCTTCATCATTCAGAATACATCCATTCTCGACCCTTATAGCATTCATTATAGGCTGTTTTGTATTTCCCCTGGCAGTTCCTACGAGTTTCCAGAACATTTTTATGTTAGCCTGGAAATTATCAGATATCCTTCTATCATTCTTATCCGTTCTTTCTTTCTTTTTCCTTTCAACAACTTCTTTTACTCTCTTATTTAGACGTCTAAATTCTGCCTTTTTCTTTCAATCTCATCATTCATACCAGAAGAATTAGCTTTGCAGCAGCAGCAATTACCAGCTTTGGTTGCCAGTAAATCTAACCATGCTTTCTTCTTTGATTCAACTTCCACCCGTACCTCATCATCCCACCACAACGTATTACTTTTCCTTTCATTTGTTCTCCTACTTACACCACATACTTCAGTGGTGGCATCCACCAAACCTTTCTTAATATTGTCCAACACAGTATTCAAGTCTAAATCATTCATACACAACTCATTCAAACGCCTAATATTTTCTCTCAGTCTACATTTATACTTATCTTTCACATCTTCATCTTGTAACTTCTCTATTCTTATACGCTGTAACGCAGTGGTAGACACAGATGTTCGATGCCGCCAACGCTTAAAAAGACCATTAATTCGACATAAGACCTAGTAGTGATCCGTCCCTACGTTGGACCCCCCGGTAAACCCTTGTATCTACGACTGCGCTCCTCATTCTTTCATCCACAATTACGAAATCTATCATGCTTCTATCATCACCTCTTTCCCATGTATACATGTGAATCTTCTTATGACGAAAAAAAGTATTCGTCACAAAAAGATTCTTTTCCACACATACGGTGAGGAGGTCTTCAC